GGGGACTTACTCTCAACTTCTGTATTTCTGTTCCACAATATTTGGCAGTTTCTGTATTTCATAAACATGAACTTGTAATGTATGCATGCACATGTATACATATGTTCTTAAGTCCAAGCAAGAAAGGAACAGGACAGAAAAAAAAATTGTATGTCATGTGTACAAATTCACATAAAAATACACACATCTTTTTCTAAGAAATATAAATAAAATATTAACTTCGATTATCTAAACCCAAAACAGTAGGTTATGATTTAAGTTACATTAGTAGTTCTTAAAATGAAACGCCTCTTTCTAGAACACCCATGAAATCCTGATTCTTTCCACAGCCTTATTTAAGCCTTAGAGTTCCAGGAACACCAACCCAGGCTGTCTCTTTTGATAATACTTTCCCTGGAACAGACAGTACTCTCAGGTCAACAATCATAAGTCTGCACTTACCAATGTCTAAAATTCTCTTTTGTAGAGCTCCAATGAAAAGAAATGGTTCATCTTTACATGACTGAACAAGTGTGCCAACCAAGTCAGAGTTTGTTGCTAAGATGCAAGCATTTTCTTCACTGAGGTTGACCCCTGCCATGGAAGCCACATCATTGATGTCATCTTCATCTCTAAGAGGAAAAAAAAGATAGCTTTTTGGTGGTGGTGGTGGTTGGTGATCTGTACATGAATGATTTAAGAGAGCAAAGAATTACAGATCTTTCCTTATAACTACAGACATTAATTTCTCAATTCATCCAAGCAAGAGAACTGAACAATAGCTATCTTTCCCTGGAAGCTTTTAAAATTAATTGATCTGTCTAACCATTAGTGTATATTTAATCAGAAAGATGAATCAGAAGCAACTGTGTCTCCTAGTGTCCATCTCTCTGTCTTTCAGTTTAGTCAATGAGGGACTTGGGAGTTAAACTAAGTTATCCACAAATACCCTGAAATGAAGAGACAAAGAAATGAAAACAGACTTCTTTGTTTTCATCCAAGATGATTAAATGCCCTCTGATTTCCCCAGTGTACTCTACTGTTCCACTGAGGAGCAGGAGAAATCCCCTGGTCCTCAAAGGTCCGTACCCACATAAAGACCCTTGAAAAGAAGCTTTCTTGACTAACTATTCTGAAACCAAATGGTTAAAACTAGTTATGATTTTCTGCCTGAGACTTTTGGTGTGCTCCATCTGTACCAACTGAATTCATTAAACCACATCCTCGAGCAAATGGCTGCAAAGGTCTACATACAAGATATAAAATTATACACACACACACATACTAACATGACATATATATAAAACACAAAATATGTTTGAACTCCTTGCATCGCACCAGCAAAATTAAATAGTTGTTTTTATCTAATAGGATTGCTACATGGCTACAGTGCTAAGATGAGCGTATCTGTTTAAGGGTAGAGAAGAGAGAAAAGAAATACAAAAATTCCCTCACAGCATCCTTATCACCGTATGTAATAACAAGCAGGTTACCGATCATAACTCACCTATCAACGCATAACATAATTTACACAAACATGATTATATAAAAAAGATGTTGCTTCTCTTTATTGCATGGGCCAAATGGTATATCATGTGGTCTCACGTCAATAGATTTAAATTATGAAACTCCCTGTGGTAATGCATTTGTGCATGGGAAAGGGAAATAAATTATAATTGTCAAGTACTCAAGAAATGAAGGCCTCTGGTGTTCCACTTTAAAAAGCAGCATTTAGGGGTGAGGGGGAAAGAGACGATGCTCAAGCATATATGAGAGATTAAAAAAAAAGCAAAAACAAATAAATAAAAGAAAGCTAGACACGGCAGTTGAAAGTGAGAGATAGAACAATAGTCTCATAATCTGAACAGATTTAAAACCCTAACATTCAGAGGTGAGTCTTTACAAAGGGAAAAATAAAACATGCAATACAAAGAAACTGTACAAAAATGCTTGCAGTCCGCCTTATCAAATGTCACAGAGGTACTGTCAGAAGTATGAATGCCAAAAATGGTTCTAAGAATTATTTTGCCACCTACATAGTGTTTCCAGATCTAAACATGTAAACATCTTAAGTGTAAGAATGGCACACACCGTAAACCCAAAGATGGACCAAGATCCAAATAAAAAAATAAAAGGTCTGAGTGAAAAATATTTCTAAAAACCCCAGGTCTCAAGAGGCACCTGGCTGGCTCAGTCAGTAGAGCATGTGGTTCTTGATCTTGGGGTTGTGAGTTTGAGCCTCACGTTGAGGGTAAAGATTACCTTAAAGTGCAAAAAACAAACAAAAAACCCGATATATCAAAGGGAATGAAAAGACAAGCTAAACAAACTGGGAGAAAATATTTGTAAAAGGCATCAGATAAAGGACTGTTATCCAAAATACACAAAGAACTCCTAAAACTCAGCAATAATAAAACAAACCAATTCAAAAATGGGCCAAAGACCTAACAGATGCCTCACCAAAGATGTACGGATAGCAAAGAAGCATATGAAAAGATGCTCCACATCCTTTCACCAGAGAAATATACATTAAAATGAGATAACACTAAACATCTGTTTGAAAAGGCAAAATCCTAAACACTGACATCAAATGCTGGTGAGGATGTGGAGCAACAGGAACTCGCATTCACTGCTGGTGGGAATGCCAAATGGTAGTCACCCTGGAAGACAATTTGGCAGTGTATTACAGAACTAAACATACTTTTACTGTACAATCCAACAACCACACTTCTATTTACCCAAAGGAGTTGGAAACTTATGTCCACACAAAAACTTGTACACAGATGTTTAGAGCAGCTTCAAAGATAACAGATAAAACTTGGAAATAATCATGATGTCCTTCAGTACCTAAATGTATAAATAAATTGTGGCATATCCAGACAATGGAGTTTTAAGTGCTAAAAAAAAAAAAAAAATTGAGATGTCACACCATGAAAAGACATACAGGGAAACTTAAATGCATATTACTAAGTGAAAAAAGTCAATCTGAAAAGGCTACATAATGTATGATACCAACCATATGACATTCTGGAAAAGGCAAACTAAAAAGACCGGCAGTTGCCAGAGATTTAGCGAGGAGAGAGATGAATAGCCAGAACACAGAATTTTTAGGGCAGTGAAAGTACTCTGTATGATACTATAATGTTGGATACACATCATTATACATTTGTTAAAACCCATAGGATGTACTACACCAACAGCAAACTGTAATGTAAATTTTGGACTTTGAGGGATACTGATGGCCAATGCAGGTTTGTCAACTGTGACAAATGATCACTATGGTGGGAGATGTTGATAATGAGGGAGGTGATGCATGTGTGGGATTAGGGGAATTCTCTGTATCTTCCGAACAATTTTGCTGTGAACCTAAACCTGCTTTAATAAACAATATCTATTTTTTTTAAAAAAGGCCAACTACACATTAATGAAGAGCTAGTTCACTCTAAAATTGAAACCCAACCAGTTATTTACCATCTCTAGGACTCAAATTTCCTTTAAAAATGAGTAACTTAGGGGTGCCTGGGTGGCTCAGTCGGTTGAGCATCCGACTTCAGCTCAGGTCATCATCTCACAGCTTGTGGGTTCAAGCCCCTTGTCAGGCTCTGTGCTGATGGCTCAGAACCTGGAGCCTGCTTTGGATTCGTGTCTCCCTCTCGCCCTCCCAGCTCATGCTCATGGTACTTGCCTCTCTCTCAAAAATAAATAAAAATTAAAAAATAAAAATTAATAAAATTTTTTTTTAAATGAGTAACTTAGATTAGGTGTTTTCAAAGGTCCCTCTCAGGCACTTAAAAGAATGAGGCAGTCCTCTTTGACCTGATACAGAGCAACTGCCAAGGAGTACTATGGAGCAGGAAAAAAAAAAAAAAGAGAGAAAGAAACTGTCCCTTGGGAAACAGACACGCAGACACACACACATACACACACACATACCCATATGGGTATAACCTCACATATCTCTGGAAAGATAAATGAGAAATTCTCTGGAGAGGAAAACAGGGAAGTAGGGATAGGAAAGACTTACTTTATACCACAGTATACTCTTTTCTACCTTTTGAATGCTGTACTATGTACATGAATTACCCAATAAAAATTATTAGTGATATTTAAAAAATAGTAAATAAACATGTAGGAAAAGAAACCTGGAAATAGAAAACATGAAGTTTAGACATATAACATCAATCTTCCCTTAAAAAGAAAATCAGAATTGCTTAAGGTAGGGGGGCCTGGGTGGCTCAGTCTGTTAAGCATCCAACTTCGGCTCAAGTCATGATCTCACAGTTCCTGAGTTCAAGCCCCACGTCGGGCTCTGTGCTAACAGCTCAGAGTCTGGAGCCTGCTTCGGATTCTGTGTCTCCCTCTCTCCCTCTCTGCACCCCCTCCCCCCCCCACACCATTCACACTGTCTCTGTCTCTCTCAAAAATAACATTTAAAAAAGTAGAATTGTTTAAGGTATATAAAACAAGGTCTTTACACACATGCACACAACACCGAATGCTTACAATCTCAGATGTTTGTCAGGTACACAGGCCCTATAAACTGCAATTTGCTTCCAAGGGGTTTCTGCATACTCCCTGTTGAAATCTCACACACAGGCTGCAGAGAACAGTACCAGGCATACTTACTACCAGTACTTACTAGTACTTACTACCAGAGTACTAAAAATGAACAGAATTCATCAATGAGGAGACAGTCCCATGTTTTTAAGAATCTTCTTGCAGCCCTCCTCTGAAATAAGCAAGGAACTAACTGCCCAATAAGATTTGTTCGTGCCTGCCTTTCCTCCTCCTATTTGGCCCCAAGCTGAACACAGCTCCCTCTAGTACAGCTGTCAGTTGCTATGGTTACCGAGGGCGGCAGCAATAGAGAGGAAGACCCCTACTGAGGGAAGAGGAAAAGGTGCCACAGTAAATAGCACCCAAGCCATTTAACACTTCCTCTAAGACAGGAGGCAGACTGATGGAAAGAAAAGACAACACAATGCTGTAACAGCATTATCAATAAAGCTAAGATAGGCCAGGACAGTATTAAAGGCTTTGATGTTGAAGCACAGTTGTGATTTCGGTTTGGTTTTAATTCTGAGGAAGAAAATGAGACTCTCTGAACTATATCTTCAAGTCTTCTGATCTAATGCAGTGTCTTTTTATGAAGGTACTATGAAAAATAATCTGTTCTGTTTTCTTTTTAAGATATGCAAAAAGGAAATTTAATAATGCCTTAATAGAAAAAGCTTTCCAATTCAAGATTCTGTGGGTTGTAATGAGTTACTACGTAAAAATTAAAGAAGCATTACCCAATTATCATTAATGTCTTGCAATCTGGCTTCTAAAACGGATCTAATTCTTTAGCTTTTGATAAAGTTATCCACTGCTTATGCCTGACTTCTTAAATCTCTTCCACCCTCTTAAGATCTATACCAGCACCAGACTGATTCTTCTAAAGTAGAGAGAATCATATTACTCTCCTGTTTAAAAATCTCTCACGTTGCCAATAACTTAACTTGATATTCAAGGTTTTCCAGGTAATGACCTTAACTTAGCACTCTTACCTCCCATTACTCACTATCACACAGCTCATACTGATTCTGGCCTTGCTCAGAACATTCCCTACTTCCAGTTCTAGTCTTCAAAC